TTGGGAAGAGGCCTACTGTACCTCCAGGCTGGATCTGAAAAGAGGATCTCTCAACCTCAGCAGTCCCCTGAGAGAGGACCACCTGTGTAGCAGGGAAGGAGCCATCCCAGCAGAAGGCCTGAAGGCAGCCACCAACCCAACAAGCTCGCACAGGTGGAAGAGTGGTCCTACCCCCCTGGGCTGGATAAGGGGAGAGGGCATTTGGGTGGGAAACCTGACTAGCCCCCATCTGGGACTGTTTAGTTAAAGTTTTATTGACAGATTCTGGGTCCCCTTGCCTAGGGATTCCCTCAGGCAGCTGGCTGAGAAGGGGATTCATTTGGGATCTGGGATGGTACACCAGGAGGGCTGTAGAGCTCTTCAGGAAGAAATATTCGCTGTATAGAGACTTGTACATACTTGCTAAGGAGTTATACTCAGTTACAGTTACCTTGGGCATTCCATACACTCCTTGACCCAATCCATGTTCAAATACCCTTTAACCTCCCTAGCGGTCTGATTATCTCAGTATTTCTGTGCTCAGAGCGGTACATTGTTTTGCATGGAAATATGTTGTTTTTTTATTGTAGGCCTGTAATTCGTAGGAATAACTCAGAAATCTGTCCGAACAAGAGTCTAGTAAACATCCCGGATGTGATAAAGTTTGAAACACAAAATAATAAATTATAATATAATAAATAATCATAAAAAATAATAATATAATAATAATACATTTAATTCAATAATGTAATCAAACCAAAAACACTGAATTTTGAAATATAGCGCCAAGTTCGCACATCACTGAGCTCAGTCGCAGAATTGTTTTCAGTGTCTGATGACTAATTTCCCCACGAATCATTATCACTCAATTCTGCAAGTAGTTCTAATTTACTATCACTGTATTCTAGCCGGTCTAAAACCACTTTTGACCTAAAGGGACGCTTTTTGGACACCATGGACATTTCTCAGTTTCCAGGCAGAAAGAACAGTAAAAATGCAGACAGGGGACAGGACAAAGCACTCGGGACAAAATGTATGTGAAATGGTTTGATACAGTCATGTAATACGATCAGATTTTAGTGTGTTGTGTGAATGTCAAATTTTTACATTTTTGAAATTCCCACCGGTTCCGTCCCCTGTACGTCCCGTACGCCCCGACACTCGCAGGGAACGGAACCTGGAAGATGGATGCTGGCATTGGCCTGAGGACATGGCCGGGGACGCTGCAGGAGGAACATCGTGGGACTGCAGGACAAGGTAAGTGCTGGAGGGATCCCAGAGCAACGCTGCAGGGTAATCCTGAGTGTAGCTCGGGGTTACCGCTTCTGGTACTGAAAGTTAACCCCGAGCTACATTCGGGAATACTGCCAGGAGGGGTTAATAAAAAAAAAAAAAAAAACAAGTTCAGTCACTGTTTACTGCCTCCTATGTGCAAGCTTGAAGAGAATGCGTGTTGCCTGGCTGTGCAGGACTATAGGGGGACCAAAATCTTCAGCGACTCCTAAGAAGGTAGTGCTACACTTGAAAAAAGAGAACAAATGCATCCATCACATGTAAGGATCGGTAAACTGCGATATGTTACATTTTTGTTCTTGGGTTTAGATACACTGTAAAAAAATTGTATCAAACTGAGAAAGCAGATTTTCATCTATGCAGGAAGGGCCAGCTATTCCATTGGCACTATATTAGGCTAGGTTCACACTTACTGTATGTTGGTGGTTGCAGGGGAATCGCACCTGTTCCCGCACCCAGAACCAAACCACTCTGCTCTTTACAGACACACGGGGCTGCCATCAGGGGCGGACTGACCATTTGGAAACTCGGGCACTGCCCGAGGGCCCGGGGGTCAGTAGGGGGCCCCATGAGATGCACCTGGTACCTTTTTCATAGGCTTTTTAGAGTTTTGGCAAGGACACAGGGGCCCCATGATCCCTTATTGCCCGGGGCCCTGTGAGTTGTCAGTCCGCCCCTGGCTGCCATTCATTCTTAATGGCACCCCTACACATCTAAAAAGGCAGCGCGTTTGTGGGTGAGGAAACGTCTGGGGAATTGCATAGTGTAAAAGCACCATGCGATTTCCCTGCTGCTGCATTTTAGAAATGATGCAGAACCCTTTTTCCTGCATGAAACACAAGCACAGCAGCCCAACAATTTGGAGTACCTGTCAGCTATTGACTTCCTCATTGGCAGCTCAAGAGGAAATCATTGCGGTTTAAAATGCACATGACTGTGTCCTGAGCTGAAGTAGCACAAGTTACATTTGGTTTATTTGCTTTTATTACAGAGAGCAAGAGTGATTCTTAAAATGACACTAAACGACATTCTTATTCTTGCAAAAAAATCCATATGTATCCACCACTTAATGGCTTTGTAATCTATTTTTCATGAAATAACTTCTTACTGTGTTTTTCTGCTTCATGTAACATTCTCGATGAGCTTCCAAACCTCTCCTTTTCCCTCCTCACTTCAGTTTGTTTGGAACAAGCAGTGCACTGCTCAGGCTGCTGTTAGGAACCACATGGAACCCCTAAAGCCAACCTGACAGGGCCCCCAAAGAAAACACTGTTTACGATGATTTAGTTATGAATGAACACAGTGAGGGATTGGTACTGATTACTTATTCTGTTCATTTAAAAAGGAAGGTGTAGGGAAATGTGACATATTTAGCGGACCGTCCCCCACTCTCCATCCTGGAGGATCCTACTGAGTGCTTGCAGCTGCCAGTGGGAAGGAAAGGAAGGAATATAGCAACACTATGGGGGTGGAGGCATGTAGGGGGGCCTGGGCAGCAGGGGTAAACATGTGCTACAAAGGGATAGTGAAGGGTGTGGCAGGGAGGAAATTACTGGAAACAATCCCCTGTATGGTTCTCTCTGCAGCCGCTAAAAGCCAGCAAGAGGGAGAGGAGAAGAAGCCAGCTTTCAGCTGCTGCAGAGAGAGCAATACAGGGGATCGGTTCCAGTAATTGCCCCAACCACTGTGCCAATCACCCTCCCTGCCCACATCCAATTCACCCAGCTGCCTTGGCCCCCCTTCTAGCCTGGGCCTCTTACAGGAAGACTGGTACCCCCTTATCCACAGCCCTGGCACTGCTGTATGCACACTACAAATCCCATAGTCCTTAGCTCATCTCAGGAGCGAGCAAGGGAGGGTGACAATGTCCCTGCCTACAGTGAGACCATGAAGAATGAATGTAGCCACCCTCTAACACAGTGGTTCTCAACCTTTCTAATGCCGCGACCCCTTAATACAGTTCCTCATGTTGTGGTGACCCCCAACCATAAAAATTATTTTCGTTGCTACTTCATAACTGTAATTTTGCAGTGGGAGGACTAGCGCCCCATCACTGATGTCAGTGGGATGAATAGTGCCCCATCATTGGTGTCAGTGGGAGGAATAGTGTCCCATCATTGGTGTCAGTGGGAGGAATAGTGCCCCATCATTGGTGTCAGTGGGAGGAATAGTGCTCCATCATTGGTGTCAGTGGGAGGAATAGTGCTCCATCATTGGTGTCAGTGGGAGGAATAGTGCCCAATCATTGGCGTCAGTGGGAGGAATAGTGCCCAATCATTGGCGTCAGTGGGAGGAATAGTGCCTCATCATTGGCGTCAGTGGGAGGAATAGTGCCCCATCATTGGCGTCAGTGGGAGGAATAGTGTCCCATCATTGGTGTCAGTGGGAGGAATAGTGTCCCATCATTGGTGTCAGTGGGAGGAATATGTCCCATCATTGGTGTCAGTGGGAGGAATAGTGTCCCCATCATTGGTGTCAGTGGGGGGAATAGTGCCCCATCATTGGTATCAGTGGGGGGAATAGTGCCCCATCATTGGTATCAGTGGGAGGAATAGTGCCCCATCATTGGTATGAGTGGGAGGAATAGTACCCATCATTGGTATCAGTGGGAGGAATAGTGCCCCATCATTGGTGTCAGTGGGAGGAATAGTGCCCCATCATTAGTATCAGTGGGAGGAATAGTGCCCCATCATTGGTGTCAGTGGAAGGAATAGTGCCCCATCATTGGTATGAGTGGGAGGAATAGTGCCCCATCATTGGTATCAGTGGGAGGAATAGTGCCCCATCATTGGTATCAGTGGGAGGAATAGTGCCCCATCATTGGTATGAGTGGGAGGAATAGTGCCCCATCATTGGTGTCAGTGGGAGGAATAGTGCCCCATCATTGGTGTCAGTGGGAGGAATAGTGCCCCATCATTGGTGTCAGTGGGAGGAATAGTGCCCCATCATTAGTGTCAGTGGGAGGAATAGTGCCCCATCATTGGTGTCAGTGGAAGGAATAGTGCCCCATCATTGGTATGAGTGGGAGGAATAGTGCCCCATCATTGGTGTCAGTGGAAGGAATAGTGCCCCATCATTGGTATGAGTGGGAGGAATAGTGCCCCATCATTGGTATGAGTGGGAGGAATAGTGCCCCATCATTGGTATGAGTGGGAGGAATAGTGCCCCATCATTGGTATGAGTGGGAGGAATAGTGCCCATCATGGTGTCAGTGGGAGGAATAGTGCCCCATCATTGGTATCAGTGGGAGGAATAGTGCCCCATCATTGGTATCAGTGGGAGGAATAGTGCCCCATCATTGGCGTTAGTGGGAAAAATAGTGCCCCATCGTTGGTGTCAGTGGGGGGAGGAATAGTGCCCCATCGTTGGTGTCAGTGGGGGGAGGAATAGTGCCCCATCGTTTGGTGTCAGTGGGGGAGGAATAGTGCCCCATCGTTGGTGTCAGTGGGGGAGGAATAGTGCCCCATCGTTGGTGTCAGTGGGGGGAGGAATAGTGCCCCATCGTTGGTGTCAGTGGGGGGAGGAATAGTGCCCCATCGTTGGTGTCAGTGGGGGGAGGAATAGTGCCCCATCGTTGGTGTCAGTGAGGGAGGAATAGTGCCCCATCGTTGGTGTCAGTGAGGGGAGGAATAGTGCCCCATCGTTGGTGTCAGTGGGGGGAGGAATAGTGCCCCATCGTTGGTATTAGTGACACAAATGATGGGGCACTATCCCTTCCACTGACACCAATGATACTTACCTTGCTGACCCCTGCTCCAGCCCGGGCTCGCTCTCTCCCTCTCCCATCTACAGCCTGCATACCTGGCTGCAGCAGCAAAATTTGCACTTACCTGTCAGCTGTCTTCCTTCTCTGGCCTCTCTCTTCACTCGTTCCTGCAGCTCCCTCGATCTTCTTCGATTTTCCGCACGCTGCCGCTCGGCTCCTCCTCTCCAATGAGTATGAGTGGGAGGAATAGTACCCCATCATTGGTATCAGTGGGAGGAATAGTGCCCCATCATTGGTGTCAGTGGGAGGAATAGTGCCCCATCATTAGTATCAGTGGGAGGAATAGTGCCCCATCATTGGTGTCAGTGGAAGGAATAGTGCCCCATCATTGGTATGAGTGGGAGGAATAGTGCCCCATCATTGGTATGAGTGGGAGGAATAGTGCCCCATCATTGGTATCAGTGGGAGGAATAGTGCCCCATCATTGGTATGAGTGGGAGGAATAGTGCCCCATCATTGGTGTCAGTGGGAGGAATAGTGCCCCATCATTGGTGTCAGTGGGAGGAATAGTGCCCCATCATTGGTGTCAGTGGAAGGAATAGTGCCCCATCATTGGTATGAGTGGGAGGAATAGTGCCCCATCATTGGTATGAGTGGGAGGAATAGTGCCCCATCATTGGTATGAGTGGGAGGAATAGTGCCCCATCATTGGTATGAGTGGGAGGAATAGTGCCCCATCATTGGTGTCAGTGGAGGAATAGTGCCCCATCATTGGTATCAGTGGGAGGAATAGTGCGACCATCATTGGTATCAGTGGGAGGAAATAGTGCCCCATCATTGGCGTTAGTGGGAGGAATAGTGCCCCATCGTTGGGTGTCAGTGGGGGGAGGAATAGTGCCCCATCGTTGGTGTCAGTGGGGGGAGGAATAGTGCCCCATCGTTGGTGTCAGTGGGGGGAGGAATAGTGCCCCATCGTTGGTGTCAGTGGGGGGAGGAATAGTGCCCCATCGTTGGTGTCAGTGGGGGGAGGAATAGTGCCCCATCGTTGGTGTCAGTGGGGGGAGGAATAGTGCCCCATCGTTGGTGTCAGTGGGGGGAGGAATAGTGCCCCATCGTTGGTGTCAGTGGGGGGAGGAATAGTGCCCCATCGTTGGTGTCAGTGGGGGAGGAATAGTGCCCCATCGTTGGTGTCAGTGAGGGGAGGAATAGTGCCCCATCGTTGGTGTCAGTGGGGGGAGGAATAGTGCCCCCATCGTTGGTATTAGTGACACAAATGATGGGGCACTATCCCTTCCACTGACACCAATGATACTTACCTTGCTGACCCCTGCTCCAGCCTGGGCTCGCTCTCTCCCTCTCCCATCTACAGCCTGCATACCTGGCTGCAGCAGCAAAATTTTGCACTTACCTGTCAGCTGTCTTCCTTCTCTGGCCTCTCTCTTCACTCGTTCCTGCAGCTCCCTCGATCTTCTTCGATCTCCGCGCGCTGCGCTCGGCTCCTCCTCTCCAAGCTCCACCTTCTCGCCGGTGATTGGCCGCCTGTGTGCCTCTCCTGAGCTACAGTTCCGGTGGCCAATCAGCGGCGAGGAGGCGGTGACAGGGGCAGCATATCATCCCGCCCACACATCGCCGGAGACAGCAGCGGTGTCTCGGTTCCTAAGACCATCGGAAATATGTGTTTTCCGATGGTCTTAGGCGACCCCTGGGAAATGGTCGTTCGACCCCCAAAGGGGTCGCGACCCCCAGGTTGAGAACCGCTGCTCTAACAGGAAGTCAGATCACAGCAGCAAGAAAAAAAAAAATAAATACATTTTGAGACTTGAAGATAGCTGAGAGCAACAGAAGAGACTTTTTTGAACTAAGAATACAAACTTGAAAAGGTTTTTTAAAACCAGAGTTTAGTGTCATTTTAAGCAATTTTAGTGCTAAAGGCTTTCTGAAAGCTATTATATGTATAGGGGACACATGCATGGCGCTTTACTTATTTTTTTTCTATATTTATACTTGCAAATGGTTTCATATTCATGTCAGTCTAGAAGTGGATGTGCTACGTAGAGGTATTAGCCAAATGATCAGACACTCAGCAATATGCAATTTAAACTTTACTCTATGAATGCAATATATATTGACAAGGCCAATAAAATGGTAAAAGGGTATATGATAACCATATATAACAGGCAGTGCAACTACTGCTGTACAGGGGTGCCTAAGGGTAGTTCCCATAATGGTCAGTAGGGGGCAGCACAATACAGAAAAAAACAGTATCTAAGACAGCCTTTCTCAACCTATTCAGCATGGAGGAACCCTTGAAATAACTTTCCTGTCTCAGGAAACCCCTATTAAAACTTACTGTATCTACAACTCATGATACATTAGTGAGATGGTCAGTGCAATGAATGTTCCTTACACTTTTTGTCATTGAGAAGAATTATCCCCTTATAGATAGCTAAAAAAGACCCATGGGGGTTTATTTACTAAAGTTGGAGAGTGCAAAATCAGGCTCACTTTTGCATTGAAACCAATCAGCTTCCAGGTTTTATTGTCAAAGTTTATTTGAACAAGCTGAAGAATATATTTTAAAAATATATATTTTTAAAAAATTATATTTTTTAGATATATTCTTAACCACATGCCGCCCAGCCACCGCATATAAACGGTGGCAGGGCGGCGCTCGTAGGCAAAAGCACGTTTTAAAACGTGTGCCTACAAAACAGGCAGGGGGCGCGCGCGAGGCACGCGCCGCCCTACCTGTCCTGCGGGGCGTCAGCAGCGGGTCCCCGCCGCCGGGTCATGGCCGGTTTTTACCGGCCGTTTTCCCGCGATGAGCGGTGAACACTGAAACAGAGCAGGGCTGCATTGTTTGCACACAGCCTGCTCTGTGACAGTTCGCCGCCAAGCTGCAGAGGGAGAATACAGTTTCTCTCCCTCGATCAGCTCCCCCCTCCCTCCCCCCCGTTCAGTACACACCCCCCCCTTAGTAAAACACTCCCCCTCACACAGTGAACACTAAAAATGTTAACCCCTTCCTCCCCAGTGACATTAGTACAATTTCAGTGGGTTTTTTTCACTGATCACTGTATTGGTGTCACTGGGGATGTCAGTGACCCCAAGTCAGCTCCCCCCCAGTGTCAAAAATGTCCGCCTCAGTCCCGCAGTCCCGCCATAAGTCGCTGGTCGCCGTCATATGTCGCTGATTGCCGCTATATGTCGCTGATCGGCGCCATTATTAGTATAAATAAAAATTAAAAATCCCAGTATCTTTCCCGCCATTTGTAAACGCTATAACTTTCACGTAAACCAATTAATTTACACGTTTTGGGTTTTTTTTTAGCAAAGACATGTCGCAGAATGCATTTTGGCAGAAATTTATGACTAAATTTGATTTTTGCATTTTTTTTTTACTGGACATGTTTTATAGCAAAAAGTCCAAAATATTATTTTCTTTTTCCTCAAAATTGTCAGCCTTTTTTTTTATAGCGCAAAAAAAAAAAACCGCACAGGCAATCAAATACCACCGAAAGAAAGCTCAATTTGTGGGGGAAAAAAAGGATGTAAATTTCATTTATGTACCGTATTGCATGACCGCGCAATTGTCCGTTAAACTAGCGCAGCGCTGTATAGCAGAAAAATGGCGTAAATTGCAGTATTTATACCATAGTTTGTAGACGCTATAACTTTCATACAAAGCAATCAATATACACTTATTGGGATTTTATTTTACCAAAAACATGTAGCAGAATACATTTTGGCCTAAATTTATAACCAACTTTGAGTTTACTAAATATTTTTTATAGCTGAAAGTAAAAAATATTGTTTTTCTTCAAAATTTTTGGCATTTTTTTGTTTATAGCGTGAAAAATAAGAAGCGCACAGGTGATCAAATACCACCGAAAGAAAGCTCTATTTGTGTGAAAAAAAGGACGTAAATTTCGTTTGGGTGCAGCATTGCATGACTGCGCAATTATAAGTTCAATTAGTGCATCGCCGAGTAGCAAAAAGAAGCCTGGTCATTAAGGGGGGTAAATCCTCTGGAGCTCAAGTGGTTAAGATTTGTTTTAACATATAAAAAATTCATTTTATATTTTACATATATTTGTAAATGCATTCCAAAAATGTAGATTTGTATTTTTAAAGACATACAGTATATTTGAAATGTATTTTTAAAAATATTTTTCAAATATTTTGTAATAAAAACGCATTTCAACATACAGTAATATACATATATATATATATATATCTATTAAAATATATTTTGAGATATATTGAATGTGGCCAAAATTGTAGCATTTCAAATATATGTCAATATATTTGGGAAGAATATTTTTTTTTAATTATATTTCAAATATATTTTTCTTCCATATGGATGGTTTTGCACTCTCCAACAATTGTAAATAAACCCCATGGTGTCAGTGGAAATATATTTGAGAGGCAGAAATTGCTCATTGCTCAAGGAACCAATAGCAAGCTCTGGTGGAACCCTTGTTGAGAAACCTTGATCCAAGAGAACCAAGTGTATGAGATGGAGATGAATTTGGTCCGAATTTTGGTTGAGACCAAATCCAAAAGGAAACTGACGATCCTGCCCACTGTCACCCATTCAACTGCGGCCAGGGCATGTGGCCATATTAGGTCAGTTGATGTCATGAACATCCTCGCCCCTTTGTGAGCACGGAGCTGTGGGATGGAGAGTGCACTGACCACCATTAAGTAAGTGTCAGTAGGCGGCCGGGGTACCTGGACCCAAGTTTGGAGCAGACCCAAGGTCATCCCTAATCACTATTAAGTAACAGCACAGTACAGGTCAGTCTATTTCAAACAGAGTTCCTTGTGTTTCCGGAAAGGTAGGGGGTCAGGTGGGAAGGAACACCTCTCTCACAAGGAGAGCGGCTGTATCTTTGTAGTTCCAGGTGGTCAACCACAGGGAGGTCCTGGACAGGCAAAAAAAAAAGGAGTCTGTGGTCTGGATCTCCAGTTAATATCAGAAGTCCTAGGGATGGGTGTACAAGGAGGCAGCTGAAAATACAAGTCCACCCCACTGGAAGGGCAGTATTCTGGGGCCAGCTAGCAAAATGCCCCCCCCCCCCCCCACACAGTGACTGGGGCCTAAGATGAAGTGCGTGATCTTGTACTTTCATCTGGCAGCTCGCTCATCCAGAACAACAAACAAGGAGCCCACCTGTCCTGGTGGAGAGTATTTACACCATCATACGCAGGCCCTGTACCAGGCTGTGTGATTGGCATCATGGGGTTTCTGCTAATGGGATATGTAGCAAACCCCTTTGATCAGTTGGCTGGGCAAGTTAAGATTTGGCTACAATGCTCTGCTGGATCTGGGGGTCACCAGGGCTGACAAATTTTAAAGATAGGTAAAGGTGTGATGAAAACCTGCTATAACAAGGATGCAAAGTAAAATGCTGGACCAACCTCGCTTCCCAATGGCTGCACTTCCAATAATCAGGTCATTTCTCCTTTATTACCTTATCAATAAACTGCGGTGCTTTGGCACCCATGGCAGTCTGTCACATCATTTGGGGGGAAACTTGTACAATAACCACTAATGGGCCACAAATGTGGTTGTTTCCAATTGAATTCCAATAAAGACAGTGCAGGAGAAGAATTCACGAAAACACTGTTATAGACATATTAGCTGTAAAAGTAACCCATGTTATTTATCACCTTCAGTCCTACAATGAAAAGATTTTGAAGGGTTAGTTCACCTTTATCACAAAACCTGCCTATGCAGATAAGGGGTGTCTGTAGACAAAAAACAAACTGTACAGCCCTGACTAAAGTGAATAATGCCTTTGCTATAGGTGTGGGAAGGGCTTTTCCCAGATGGAATGGGGGGAACACAGCTCCGGCACCTCCAGCATGAATGTATTGATGCCGGCTGTTGGGGGATCTATTGTCACTGGGGGGATCATTGGTTGCTGGCGAGGTCTATTGTTGCTGGTGGGGGATTATTTTTTTTGTGGAACAATCTTATGTTGTTAGGGGGCCAATTATTGCTGCCATGGATCTACTGTTTGGGGAGAGGTCTGTTGTTCTTGCTGGCTGGTGGAGGGTCTATTGATGCTGGCTTCTGGCATTTTTACTGTATTGTTACATTGGGGGTTTATATTTCTGGGGGGAACTATTGTTGCTGGGGGAGAGGGGAATCTATGGTTGCTGAGGGGGATCTATTGTTGCTGGAGGCGGTCTATTGTTCCTGGCTGCAAAGGATCATGCTCAGTGGAGATAGGGGGTGGAGACAAGGAATAGCTCGGAAACGGAGGGTATCTCACGAAGCCTTAGTGGAAAACTCCCAGGAGGTTACTAGGATGTTGCTAAGGCAGCCTAGCTATTATTGTTCATCTCTTTCTCTGATTCAAACCCTCTCCCATGTTCTTTCTCTCCTGTGATGCATGAGCTCAGAGTTTGAGAACTCACTCCTCTGATGGTAAAGGTGAATAGTAATAGCTGGCCTCCCTTAGCAATACACGGGCAACATTCTGGGAGTTTTGAAGTCAGGCTTCATGAGGTACGTAAATGACCTACACTTATAGCAAGGGCATTATTCAATTTTGGCCAAAGCTGCACAGTTTCTTTTTATCTACAGACGTTTCTGACATGCAGTGTCAGGTTTTTGCTAAAGGTGAACTAATCCTTTAATGAATTTTT